CAATTACGAAGTCTTTTCTCTAACCTCTTGCGTTGCTTCCCAATTTGATTGCTATATCTGTTATTCAATTAGTTTATTTGTTATTCTTATAAAATGTACACTCACAGGGGCCATATTTTCTCTTATTATTTTACTTATAGGCTATCTGATTATTGGAATTTATCTTCATAATTCTATCACGTGCTCTTAGATTTTGGTGTAACGCTAATGATTTTACATTTCCGTTTTCCATATTTCCTCCATTGAAATGTCTTATATAGGGAATATTAATTTTTTCTTATATAAAACGTTCATGAGATGCTCATGCAAGTTTTAGCTTTAGTTAGTTAGGAAGGAAATCCGCTAAGATTAATAGAATGGAGTAATAGACAAAGTAGTGAAATTCGCTGGCTTGAAGCTCAAGAAAATAAATGACGCTCTCGAATAACGTTAATGCATATGAATTTTCTCAAAGAATCCAGAACATTGGGCCGGTGGGGATGGAACTGTTGATGGGTTTTCATGTACAATACTGTAGTACTGCTACAGACGATGATAAGACTAAGGTAGTAAACCTATCTTAAATCCCTCTTAATTCTGAAACTACGGATCTTTTAAAGAAGGGGTTACACTTTTCTCATGGTAACGAACGAAACTTTCTTAGTGATATTCTGGTGGAAGTTGGCAACATAACGGATAAATATCAAGAAGAGACAAGGCGGGAGATGGAACTGGAAATAATCACACGGATCCTGATACATCAAAAACCGATACACATGAGCAGATTGGCTGGTACACGGAAAAAATTACAAAAGAATGATCAAATATTTCTTTAGGCAGATGAAGGAGGAGCGACAGTTGTAATGAACAGGAAACATTACAAGGAGAAAATGGAAAGTTTCCTAGGCGAACGGAACACTTATCAAATACTAGGGAAGGATCCAACCATAAAGCTCAACAGGACACTGAAGAATATGCTAAATAAAATGCATAATACTGGGGAAATTGATAGAAGGATCATGAAATCTTTAATAAAAAATGACGCAAGACCACTGACAGCCTACGGACTACCGAAGATACACAAGGAAGGAAATCTGCTAAGATTAAGAGTCAACAACAAGCATGGAGCAATACACAAACTAGTAAAATTCATTTACTTGATGCTCAAGAAAGTAAATGACAGACTCTCGAATACCGTTAATTTATATGAATTTTCTCAAAGGAAGGAAGACCAGGCAACAATAATATCAGCAAAAAGAAGAAGATTAGATTAAGGTAACATCCTTAATTTTAGGAAATTAAATCGCAAGGGGACAAGAAAGTAACATTCAGAAGCCAAGAGGAGACGTCTTCAGTTAACTTAATCAAAACAAGTAGCACCTTAACATTTGTGAGTTGACACACAAGAGACTAAGACATAAGAAATGATAGAAATGATATTATGGATATAAACAGGATAGACTTGTTTGATCATAGCCGTGGTCCATAAAGTAAAGGCTTGACCATGAGAATTACTCGCAGTCTTTAGCCTCAATTTAGCCTAGCAGACGCAGAGTGTGAAAGATAACGTCTTGTCAAGCACCGGCGGGCTAGCAGGCTTCGAGGGAAATACTTGATCCAGGGAGGTAGCAGACGTATCCTACGGGGCGAGTGGAAGACTATTATAAGACCTCAATACTAGGCATGGTGTACAATGTCTCCCATTTGCTCTGATAAAGTTGCGATCAAGAACTCAAATAAAAAATATGGCTAAAAGCTACTGCGACCGAACTTAAGGCCATACCATCTAGGTCTTTATGGTATATGATTTTTTTTCCAGAGTACTAAAATGACATTATCTGCATCTCAATAAAGATAAACTATTTAGAGTTTTTCCATGTGATTTCATACCTCACCCTTAAACCCTTTTTTTAATTTTTTAATTAACTTCTAAAAGCTGCTTCGTCGTTTGCCGCCAATTTGCAATCCTAGTCAACGACTTCACAAATTGTTCCGAGACTTCTGGCTATATTGCATCGTTATGGGATTTGCTCAACCTGATCAGAGACCTGGTAAGCTAACTTCATGTGATATCCATCTCTTGGAGGCATTACTGCACACTTTGAAGTTCTTATCTGTGCACTTCAGCTTCATCGTGAAACATATAACTAATGAAGCCTTGCCACACCATAGACTTTCCTTTTCGAGTTTTAAAAAAAAGTCTTAATAGTGTCACTGAAAGGCGAAGAGAATATTGGCATAACTAAGCCTCATAAATTAATTTAAGATATTAAGTGACTTTTTGCGAGCTACCTACTTTCTATATCATTTTATTCTGAGAAGGAGAAATAACAATTTTTGATAATCATAAAGAGAATTTATGATGTGTCTTTTGGAGAGGAATTCTTACCAATATTTTTATAGAAGTAGGGCCTAGTCAATGATCCTGAAGACAAGAAAATAATAATCCACTTAGCTATTATCAGCTACCTACTTACCAATTCTTTAATGAATACATATCTTAGCACGCTTTTTATTATTTAACACTATTTTATGTTCGGAATTGATTCTCTACGCAAAATCGACAATTAGGCCATACTTCTGTTTTATTTAAGCTCGAATATGGGTGAGCTAAAAGGGCAAGATGAGATGCCTATTAACAGTATTGGGTAACAGATTTTGACATCATCTTTTAAAATCTTTAATTTTAAATGAGTAGCTAAATAATAAGGATCCACTCTGACTGCTGATTAAATAAAAAAAAGAAAAATAACAATTTTTCATCTGAAATATCTGCTATTTGTATTTCAGCATCTATTTGTTCATTTAAATTGCTGTTCACAGTTTTATTTTTATTTTCTTTGTTTTTATGTATCAATACTTTGAAAGATTTTTTTCTTACTCTTTAGCTAATTTCCCACTCGAATGGTTTCAGGGTGTTTGCATCATTGCAACAAAGTCACCACCACTTCTTTCAAGTGAAACGCTTCGTTCAGAGCTGGAGCACAATTCAGCTCTGAGCTCCAAAAACCTTTCCCAGGTCGGTAATTTCATTCTATCTTACCTTAATCAATTATAAATGCCAAAGATGGGAGTTTTAACACTAGGAAAAATGGATGTTATATTTTTTGAAAATAAATCTCTTGTCATTTAATAAATGATGCCATAGCATTTCATCTTTGTGTATAGTGAGGCAGTTTATCCCGCTCATCCAAATACATTTTCCTCTACTCACGCTTTTCTTGATCTTTGGATCATAATGAGCATATGTTGTCTTTGAAAGCTTATGGAAGCTGGTTATTTAAGGAAAAGAGCCTCATTATTGTCAATAATCTTCTTTTTAAATTTGCTTTGGTTATGCTAGCCCTCTGTCTGCATCACCATCTCGAACACTTCAAAGTTTTCAATAACTTACTCTAGTTCTACTAATATCTATCTTAATGTTGCATTTTTACTCCCTTATTGACTAAATCTTGATTTCCCTTCCACATTTACCCGCACTTCTCGATTTCCTTGATCTCTTTTAATTTGGCCCCTGTCCTCATTAAGGTTGATGCCATGGATATGAAAAGCAAGATGTGTCTGCTTTTGGACAATAATGCAGAAGTGATGTCGCTGATCAGCAGGATGAGCATCACGCAGGTCTCTTATCTGATGTCTATTTATCGCTTAGAGTCACTTTGGTAAGTTTATCAGACAATACAAATTAGTTAAATAGTAACTCGATTTTTCATTTTGAGAAAACGGTTGGTTGAAATGAGCTTGTGGACTGTTCTTACCGGAAATTGAAGAAGGATTGTCTATAAGTGGAGTAAGTTGGATTCTGCAAAGAAATTCTTAGTCCACTGTATCGCGTCACCAATGGACTCATACTGAACCGATGCAACGGACATCATCAGGACGAGAAACTATACTTTACGAAAAAATTCACCAATATATTAAGCCAAGAGTGAAGGTGAGCTTCTTTTTAAAGTATGGTTTCTCTCGCTCTCTCTGACGATGTCTCTTACATGATCGGCATTATTTAATCGGAATTATGGGATGTTGAACTTCTTCTCAAATCCGCTGTTATCCATTCCAATGCAATCCTACGATTTCCAGTAAGACAAATTCGCTAATTTCTTTCCGCTAACTTTTTTTCACTTAAATTAAACTCAAGGTTTCATTAAATCATTCGTTAGCCTTATTTCAATTTCAAGCCCCACACAGTTAGACTTGTTTATCCTGACTCTTAATAGATTTCACATTAAATTCCATACTTCTACAGGAAAAGAGAAGTTGCTTAAGGCTAATAAAATATGCTTTTTACCCAGCGTACGAGTGTATTGGCAATGGGGAGTCACAGCCACTTAATGAATGCAACTATTGTTTGTACCTGCTGAAATATAAACAATTTTTTATTATTTTATATCTAATTTCACAACCGATTATTTGACTCGCTTGTCTACATAAAAGGGATTAAGCATCTTTCTTAGGTGCTGTAGCCTCCATTTTATCTTATAGATTCTTTACCACGGCCAAGAAAATTTCACTAAATATTTTTTTATATCCACGTTTTCAAATTACTTTTTAATCTTGATTTCTTCAAATCAGACACATTTCATTATAACTTTGGGGAGAGGTTTTCCTATTTATTCCTCTTTTAGTATTGAACATTCAACCGAACCGGATGCCTGTCACAGGATCTTTCTCTACCTCGAGGATAATATTATCATGAAGGATAAATTCGGTGAGCTGTTTCATTCCCTGGGTTTTGATCTATACATAATGACCAACGTTCATGCCATACGAATACATCTTCGCAAGTAACTTGGGATAATTCGCTTTCTAGCATCGCAGTCGTAGGCTGTCGAATGCATTGACTGTCCTTATACTGGTGCAAATTTCAATACTGTAACATTCACGTGAATTCGTACAGAAACCCCCCTCATCCCAAATTGCTTGCCTATTACAGCTCCTTAAAAATCTGGATTACGTTCTTTTTCATTCGCTTTGATCAGCTCTCATTTTAGCTTTTGATAGTAGGTGCCGTCTTGCTAGATGTCGAATATGTTTTTGTCCATAAAACGGACGATTTCTATGACGCAAAGAGAATGTATACAATTATTTTCGGATACTGCAGCAGTAGGAACTCAAATAAACTTTTTCTGAGTAGTATTGATTATATCGATAGTAATTATTATAGGATACTATGAGATCGGGTATATGGGTTGTATCTACTCTATCGCTAAAGGCATTCTATAATATCTGGACGGATGTTATTCATTAGCTTGTTATTAAAATTAACTCTATTTATCTAATAAATATTAGTAGATCTAATTATCTAGTACTTATACATTGAGCCTATTTTGTTTATTTTTTTATTAGAAATTATTAACGTTACTATCTCACAACTATTCATTAAACTAAATTAACCTTAAAAGGGATTATTATCCTATATATTAGAACAGAAAATTTACTTATGGATTTTAAGTCTATGAAAGTAGGTTAAAAATACTCATAGCTTGTCACATAAATGAAATATAAAGTTATAGTTATTTATACACCAGAGTTGTGCCCTATACTCATAGGTTAGTTACACTCATCATCACCATTCAGAGTACGACATCTCTATACTCTGTCCTGCAGCGATTAAAAGCACCCAGCTGTTGCATCGAATCTTTCTGAGGAACCAATTGGAACATGACACACAATATTATTTTAAACCGAAAGCATCTTCGACCTTTGCTCTTTTTAGACGAAGGATTGCAATTCAGCCACCTTTTCTTTCCCCTGTAACCCCTTCTGTTCGAACACTATATTCTCATAATATCGTTGCACGTCGTTTTACTTTTGCCTTTCCGCTCTGAGTCTACTCTGATAATTCTTTTTGTTCTATACAGGCTACTCTGTGACGGGTTTTTCATTCTATATGCCAGACCGAGTAACTCTACATTGTAACCCGTAGCCGCGCACATATTTTCAGTGACATCAAGAACATAAAATTACTATTTTCTAGCCTTAGACTAAATATTGCTTTCTTAGATACTTCACATTCTTCATTCGTGCCAATTCATTTTGAAAAAAGCAAGCCAAGAAATTCAAACATTACTTTTTTCTAATGCGTCTCTTTTAGTCCTTACATTTAACGTTTTTTTCTTGAGCTGAAACTCATTCTAAGCCTTCTAAGGTCCTTATTCATTTTTTACCGTTTGGCCTTTATTTTTTTATCGTTGACAAAATGTTTAGCATATATTTGCATTATTTTCTGGACAAAGATTCCCATACTATAATTTATTTACCTTTAGTTACAGTTATCTTCAGCTTATTTATTCATTTATCTTTATCATTATTTTTATTAAAATTTAATTTACGATTATTATCAATCATAGTCGATATTAATTTAATGCTTAAAAATTAATGCCATCGACATTTCATTTTTCATTTGGACCAATTCATGTCTAAATTTGGAAGGGTGATACGTCGGTACATATCTTCAATTAACAGTTGCCATCATTCACAATATAGCTTTTTTTACATTATCTTCTCTTTCCCTCTTTCAAATAGGCATGTGGACTTGCATCACACACATCGCGGTTCAAGTGTTCAACAAATTTTTGAAAAAAATGAGTGCAATGGTAAATGTCTAGCTTATCAGCCTATTTATAGTTAATCATGAAAATCAAGTCTAGTGCATTCGCCTGGGCCCTATCATACCTATTTCTATATCTAAAAATCCATCGTATCCATATGCAATGATTTTCAGTTTAGTATGGGAATTTTTACCTTCATACATCAGCAATTGAATCCCGATACTTTTTTGGTATATCTAAAAGTGCAATTTTATTCATTTTCTTAATTTAATTCAATTTTACGATGGGATTAACAATTATTGTTAAGCATATATAATCCGTATTCAAGTGAACTATTCAAAATTATTCTCTTTGCATGTGCTCAATTCTCAAATATAACCTAAGGTTTATTAGGGAGTAAATATCTTGATTAAGAACAATTGTATACCATTTTTCTTCTTCCAGTTCTCGTGCCTTGTAATTGTAAAATAAGTCCTTTAGTACCATGCTTGCCATACAACAAGTTGATTATATTTTATGTGGTTTTATATTTTAGGCGAATTGTTTTGTAAAGTTTTAGAGGGCTATTAGCTTCCGATTCGACAATGTTTGTCAAATATTCCTTTCCTTAGCTGCCTTTAATATCACTTTTCCAGGCTCGGTGAAAATTGATTTAAATCTTTAAATTTCATACTTTTATTAGTGCTCTAGCGTAACACGTGCCCAGCTTTATTGTAGATTGATTTAAACGTCTTTTGCTGATTTCTTAAAGGACAGTGCCAGTAATTATTCTTTTATCGATGCACGTGAACAGCCAGGAACAATGATTGCTTGCTTGAGTTCATGCATATACAAATTAGTGGATTTCTCTTGCACTTTATAAGGATGAAGAATAAATTTTATCACTTTTTTTATATCTCATTAGTATTTAACTTTGTGTAACCTTTTCGGCATGTTTTTAAATGGTTTAAGCATCCACTCTATGATAGTTCATTAACTCTAAGATGGCTTGACGAGGTCCAAACCAAACTTACAAAACATTTTAACTATCTCTGAATATTTTTAAACATTTTACTCTATTTTCTGGTTAGACCTTTTATACGTACATCGTTTGAAATGACCTAACATGTTTTATACACTTCAATTTATGCATGTAACTTAATATTTTCCCATTAATTATTTATTGTTATTTACGGCTTGTTTTGTCCCTTCCATATTTTATCTCACCATTTGTACTTAACCTTATGTAAATTGTTCACCACTGCTTCACATTTAGATTTATCTATCCCATCCTAACATATATGATTAAATATGGTCATTTCTTAAATAAACGGTTAATTTTTTAATAGAAGAACCGCTTGGTTTTAGCTAATTGTTTTTTTTCGTGAACAGAAATATGCTAGAGATAATGCAGATGAAATGGATGACAATGAATATAAATATTGAAGACTGAGTTAATTTTGATTTACTTACACTATTTTATAAGCCTCACTTGATTCTTCCTATCATAGGATTATTGCAATCACAGGTCGCATCCGCGCTATTTTCCTTCTTACAATGAATGCATAGCTGTCCTAATAATTTATTATTATTATTTGTGTGTAAGATTAATTTATTTTGTACCTTCCATATTCTTTATTTATTAGCCGATGACGGTTGAACGCGAGGCGTTGATGGACATGCATGCTCAGTTTCTTCTAGTAAAATTCAATCACATCCAAAAGAGGATTCGGTTTGTTGCTGATCAACTTCTCAGCGATTTAGCTAAAGCGTAAGCTAACTATTATTAGGATACTAAATAACCCTATACCAAGAATGGCTAATGTATCTAACGCTATCGTTTGTCTATTCTCAGAGCTAACGGTATGCTTTCATCTTTCCTATTCTATTTTGTTTTCCTGACTTTTTAAGTTAGCAACTATTAATCACTTCATTACTTGCGATTGTACACGACAACCACTTTAAATTTCACTTTTTTTTCGTGTAGACTAATGCTATAATGTAATAGATAGGTAGCTATTGTGGCTAAATGCAACGTTTGCCAATTTGATTTGATATTGATGATCTATATGCTCATCTTTTCTGTTTTTCAGGGAAAATATTTTTCCAAACCTACCTCTGCAAATTCTACAAATT